TGGGACATGCTCCCATGCCCACGGGTGCTGGGGCAGTGAGCGGGTGAGGACTGGCAGAGCCTCTGAAGCAGGAGGGACCCCTAATCTCTCTTCCCCACTCCCCATTCCCTGCTCCCCGCTCCCTGTTCCCACTCCTGCTCAGCAGCAGGAAGCTGCCTGCCAACAAGAGCACTGCACATCTGCAGTTTACACCCTGCCAGCGACCAGGACAGAGCAGCCCTGCTTCCCTCAGCCGCCAAGGGGCTCCTCCACAGCCGTGCGTCCCACCCTTTCCTCAGGGAAAGGGCTTCCCAGCAGCTTGTCCTTCATCCTGAGAGCATGTGCTGGAAGCCAACACAGCCAGGCATGCCTGCTCCCCAGCTGCCCTGCCGATGCGACCGGATAAGCAGGGGATGCTTGACCATCCTGCACCCAGGCTGCTCTTACGCCTGGTGGCAGCAGCCCTGAACCCAGCCTTGTGGAGACTGCCTGGGACCCACTGTGCACATAAAACAAAACATACGGCCAGAGAAGCAGGGCTAGGAAATGTTCCTGGGACAGCCCAGCCCATAAGTGGATTCACAGGGCGTTTGCATTTCCTATCAGGAAATGTATCGGTGCGTTATGGTTTCTGGCATGTGGTGCCGTGCATTAGAATGGGCAAATGATAACAAAAAGGGGTATTTTTATCACTCTTTTTTTTAGTCCATCATGATTCAGCAAAAAAGTTGAGGTCTGTAAATTCAGCAGAAATTCAGGTGTTTTCAGTGCACTGTGGGTTGGGCAGCTAAAGCATTCCATATTACTGAAGAGCAAGTGTGGTGAGCTGCTCTGGCTGGGCTCGGCTGCACACAGCACCCTGGTTTCTCCTCTGAAGATACATAAGGTTAAACTGGCCCTGATTGGGTTTACCCGCAAAACCTCGCAGGGAGGTTTCCTGCACCACCTCCAGCCTAAGGGATCCACACAGAGAGACACCTCTTACCCAAGTGTTCCCAGAAAAAAATGCAAGGGGACAAATCAGCTTGGGTCAGATTCCTTGATGGATCCCTGAGCATCACCTGGCATGGAGAGCTGACCCCAAATGGCTCCCATTCCCCAAAAGAGAAAAGCGACGTGCCCTCAAGCAGTAAGAGGAGCCATGCTGTGCTACTGGAAGGAGTGGGCAGGGCCTGCAGTTCCAAAGCCTTTTCATAAAGTGTGTTTGTTCTGTGTAAATAATTGTGTCCTCAAATGGAATAATCCTGTCCTCAAACAGATCCTTGTGTCGGAGGCCATCTCACAGAGTGTATCAATCATAACTGTTGTTATACACAGCTCTCTATGCTGCTGGGGGAGCACAGGACGAGCTGCTTTCTTAGGTGCTGCACATGTAAGCATCTGGTGGCATGATGGCAATTATGGTTGTGACCATGACAGGCAGTGAAGTAGGGTAAGAAGTCATTTATTTATCTATTCATGTATCTATCCCCTTCCTGCAGCTGTACTGAGTGTGTGGATGAGTCCCTGACCCAATGCACTTGCAAATGACCTGGGGTTTCACCAGGCAAACGGGGATGTGGGGGTTCCCCAGCAGGGCACTGATGGTAGGAGGGACCAGCCTGGCTGCTCAGCCCCTGTGTGTCCCACTGCGGGATGGCCTCGTGCTCCGCATTTACATTATGGTTGTGCCTCAAGTGCCCCAGGGGTCTCCTAAAAACAGAGCCCTTCACATATGCACAGCCCACAGCAAAGCACCATGCCTAGTTTTCCAGGCAAATGGGGGCAGCTGCATCTGGTGTTCATCTTTTTCGGGACCTCTCCATCCCTCCTGCCGTGGGGTGTTTGGGTGGCTGTGCTGGGGGAGCCCCTGCCCACTGCCATGCCTCCCTTGGTCATGGGCACCGCGCGGCCCTGGAGTGCACTGTAAATAGTCGGAAGTGATGAATGGATTTCCCCTTCCTTTCCATGTGTGCTTTAGATTTTTGGCCGGATACAGTATAGGCTCGGGACACACCAAAACATGAGGCTTGCTCCCCAGCAGCCCTGGCTTTCACGTGGGAACAGTCTGATTTGTGAAGCAGTGGGAGGTTTGGTGGACGAAGCTTATGCTGTTTTCCTGGGGAATGCCATTCATTTTCCAGGCAAGGAGCCTGGAGCCGGCCAGAGGCTGTGGCAGCTTTGCAGGAGGGTTGGGTGTGGGGACAGCAGTGCTGCCATGCTGTGCTTGTGCTGCTGCCCATGCTGGCACTGTGCATGGGAAAGTGCTCAGGGAAATCCAGGCTTTCTGCTGCTTTCCACTTCCTCACAGACATGTTTACTGCAACATGGAGGGGTTTCCCTGGGTTTCTCCCTCCTGTGCAGGCTGATGGCTTTTGGTCACCCTGCTCTGCCTAGCCCCTTTCAACCAGGACAGTGGCCTCGCCACAGGCCATTGCAGGCGTGAATCCAGGTGGGGCCATGCCTCAGCACCCC